GAAGACGATTGGACCAGCCTCCTCCTCCCCCATCCGAGCTAGTGACAAACAGTGATCTGCCTTTCTATTTCTGGCCGTCAACAGATATATCAAGATTACAAATTGTTGCCAGGTATGGGAGGTCAGGGGATGTGTGATCGGGGTGTTGGAAGGTCACTGTGTATTTTTTGTGGTGTGGGTTGGTGGAGGTCAGGGAGTTGTTTGATGGTGAGGTCGGGGAGTGTGTGTGATGGGGAGGTCAGAGAGTGTGTGATGGTGGAGATATGAGAGTGAGTGGTAATGGTGGTCAGTGAGTGTGTGATGGTGGAGGTCAAGGAGTGAGTGGGAGAGGTGATGGCAGAGGTTAGAGTGTGTGATGGTGGAGGTCAGGGAGTTTGGGGTGGTGGATGAAGGTCGACCATTAACTTCTAGGAGTTCAAAGCTATCCAGTAAGTAGATAGTTGTGGTTTCATTTTTTAAATAGTAATTTGAACTTTTTCCATGTACAGATCCAAACTCCCTGTTCTGAATCAGTTCAGGTGAGTAGTATTGTTTTTGGAGAGGGAGACGCCCCCTCTCACTGTGGACATGAGTGCTGCTAACCCCTGTGTGGGAGGCTAACTCGGAATGACTTGAAAGAGCTATAGATACTGAATGAAGGCTCTCCTTTTCTCTCTGTCTGTCTGTGTCGCTCTGTCTCAGCACTTCGTGCAGATGAAAGAAGCTAGAGCCATGGTGAGACTGAAAATTGCTTGGGCAACAAGTAATATTTCTGTTCAACTGGACCCGAAGGGCAGGTTGGGAGGTCAGCAGAACCGCAGCCCAGGGTGCCAGCTGAGGTGGGGCTGTAGAGGGCCTGAACACTCAGCCAGAGGGAGATCCAGCCTTCCGAGCCGTATGCCCACGTGTGGCAGCTTGCCCCTGCTGGGAGGTAATGATACCCGGATTCTGCCTTTTACTCAGTGAAGGAAGCCTGTTTCTGAGTAGAGACGATTGTTCTTTATAAGCTGCGAAAACATTAGTTCTCTAATGAGCTGGAACCAACGACAGCCCAATGAACTTCACATAAAGGATCTACTCCATGGAAATGGGCAGCTTACCTCTGAACAACTGGGAGAACCTCAGTGGTTTTGCAAAATATACACTTTATGAAGCACAGGACCTCAGAGCTGTTGATAAAGCAAGAGAACTAGGTGAGAGCTGGATCAAGCCCCAGAGCTGTCATTCACCGTTTTGGGACCTGGAGCCTGAGCCTCTACTTCTTCAACTGCAAAATAGGCATGAATAACATGTCTAGAAGGACTGCCAGAAAAATGAAATGACAACATTTGCAAAACACGCAGTGGGGCTGGCACAGTGGAAGAGCCTAATAAACCTGCTAAATCCCCCTTTCCCCTGACGTGTGTGTGTGAGAGAGTGTGTGTGTGTGAGTGTGCACCCCCTGTTCGTTTCAAGTCCTGCCGTCCCTGGCTCAGGGCCTGGTTTTGGCGTTCCCCTTCCCCAGCTCAGGCTTCCAGACCAGTGGGCTCACTGGCTCGGTTTGGCCCAGGATCAAGACCCTGCCTCCAGCTGTAACCTGAGCATTGTCTGGAATGCAGGACAATACATCAGGGCCATGTGAATGGAACTAATCCTCTTTATGTTGGCAGTATCTCATTGGAAAAAAATAGTGGGAGTGGGTGGGGAAAATCAGGAGACCCAACCCACTGCTGTCTCTCAGCAGCTTCTGTATGAAGAACCTTGGCTGCTCATAAGGGAAAGAGATTTTCCTCTTGGATTCCTTTTTTTTTGGGGGGGGTGGGGGATGGAGTCTAGCTCTGTCACCCAGGCTGGAGTGCAGTGGTGCGATCTCGGCTCACTGCAACCTCTGCCTCCCGGGTTCAAGCAATTCTCCTGCCTCAGCTAATTTCTTTTGTATTTTAGTAGAGACAGGGTTTCACCGTGTTGCCCAGGCTGGTCTTGAACATCTGAGCTCAGGCGATCCGCCCGCCTCTGCCTCCCAAAGTGCTAGGATTACAGGCGTGAGCCATTGCGCCCGGCCTGTTGGATTCTTTAGTACAGAAAGTAACAGGGCCTTCCAACAAATTATGTTTGAAAACTCCCTGGCACGTGAAGCCAGGCGTGCAGGCTCAGGGAGCGATCATTTTGTTGACCAATCAACTGTTTACTGAGCCTGTATTATGTGTCACGTCCCTTGTCAGCTCAAGGGGTACAGGAGTAAAATTCATGACTGTGGAGAGGTTGGACCCCCACAGTGGACATCACAGCTGTCATAAAAGAGGCTACCAAGAGAGCTGCCATGGAGCCCAAACACCTCAGCCGTTTACTATATGATTCAGTGTGAAAACAGTTCATTTGCTTTCAGCTTCTTTAGAAATTCATCTACACAGACTGAGAATTAAGTCTTAGACATACACAACACGACAGTGAACAGAATGATTTCATTTCATACCCACTGAACCTGGGTTGAACTCTCTGTCAGTCACGCCCCTTCTAGAGAAGTATCAACAGCTTCCCATGTCTGTACTCCTAAAGGGGAAGGTTGATCATCAGCCATTCTGGATGTTAGTCTTCTTTTCTGAGACAGAGTCTTGCTCTGTTGCTCAGGCTGGAGTGCAGTGGTGCAATTTCAGCTCACTGCAACCTTCACCTCCCAGGTTCAAGTAATTATCCTGCCTCAACCTCCCGAGTAGCTGGGATTACAGGTGTGTGCCACCATGTCCAACTAGTTATAATTGTTTGTTTGTTTGTTTGTTTGTTTAGATGGAGACTAGCTCTGTCGCCCAGGATGGAGTGCAGTGGTTCGATCTTGGCTCACTGCAACCTCTACTTCCCGAGTTCAAGCAATTCTCCTGCCTCAGCCTCCTGAATAATTGGAATTACAGGCGCCCACCACAACGCCCAGCTAATTTTTGTATTTTTAGTAGAGATGGGGTTTCACTGTGTTGGCCAGGATGACCTCAAACTCCTGACCTCGTAATCTGCCCGCCTCGGCCTCCCAAAGTGCTGGGATTACAAGCGTGACCTACCGCGCCTGGTTAGTTATTGTATTCTTTGTAGAGACAAGGTTTCACCATGTTGGCCAGGCTGGTCTTGAATTCCTGGCCTCAAGTGATCCACCTGCCTGGGCTTCCCTAAGTGCTGGGATTACTGGTGTGAGCCACCGTGCCCAACTGAATGTGAGTCTTATACCCATACTCTACTTGCTCCTTTCTTCCTGTGTATTTGCTCCCTCATTAGTTGTATGCGTGTCCATCTTCCTTCACTACAAGATGATGAGGCCAAAGGCAGCTTTTGATGCACTCTTGTAACACTCAGAGTAAATAGCAAAGGTGCTACACATCTCACTAAATTTCCAATTGATTAAAAAGATATGGGCAACTGGGTGCAGTGACTCATGCCTGTAATCTCAGCACTTTGGGAGACCGAGGCAGATGGATCACGAGGTCAAGAGTTCAAGACCAACCTGGCCAAGATGGTGAAACCCCATCTCTACTAAAAATACGAAATAATTAGCTGGGCATGGAGGCAGGCACCTGTAGTAATCTCAGCTACTCAGGAGGCTGAGGCAGATAAGTGCTTGAACCCGGGAGGTGGAGGTTGCAGTGAGCTGAGATCATACCACTGCATTCCAACCTGGACAACAGAGTAAGACTCCATCTCAAAAAAAAAAAAAAAAAAGATATGGGCAGGGCGTGGTGACTCACGCCTGTAATCCCAGCACTTTCGGAGGCTAAGGCAGGCAGATCACTGGAGGCCAGGAGTTTGAGGTCAGCCTAGCGAACATAGTGAAACCCCTTCTCTACTAAAAATACAAAAATTAGCTAAGCATGGTGGCAGGTGCCTGTAATCCCAGCTACTCAGGAGACTGAGGCAGGAGAATCGCTTGAACCCAGGAGGCAGAGGTTACAGTGAGCCGAGATTGTGCCACTGCACTCCAGCTTGGGCAACAGAGTGAAACTCCGTCTCAAAAAAAAAAAAAAAGATACGTAGGCCAGGCACAGTGACTCATGCCTGCAATCCTAGCACTTTGGGAGTCAGAGGCAGGTGGATCTCCTGAGGTCAGGAGTTCAAGACCAGCCTAGCCAACAGGGCGAAACCCTGTGTCTATTAAAAATACAAAAATTAGTCAGGTGTGGCACATATCTGTAATCCCAGCTACTCGGGAGGCTCAGGCATGAGAATCACTTAAACCCGGGAGGCAGAAGTTGCAGTGAGTTGAGATTGCACCACTGCACTTTAGCCTGGGCGACAGAGTGAGACTCCCATCTCAAAACACAAAGTTAAATTTAAAAATCAATAAATAAAAAGTTATATAAACCAAGTGCTAAAAAGTAAAGGTACATCTCTTTGAGGTGAAAACAAAGATAAAACAGGAAAGCCAGGCCTGTAAGAGAAAGCTGACCCAGTGGCAGCCCCAGGAATGGGTGATGGGAGTGAGAAGGCTCATGTGAGAAGAGTAGACATCACCAGCCCTGGAGAGACCAGAGGGGCAATAACCACCTCACATGAAGCCTGGACACTTGAGGTGTCTTGTCCTCACAGATGACAAACAGATGGAGAAGAAACTGGCAGTCTTTCTGTAGATTTTAGTCAGAAAACAATTACTCATGAGAATGTACCACTTTGGTCTACACTGCACCAGCTACAAGGTCTGAATTTATGTTACTGCATAGTATAGAAACCTCTAACCTGAAACACAAACACAAAAACTCATGCAGAGCAATTAAGTCTCCTGGGGCTCTGGACAGAAGTTAATCCCGAACTGCTATGTAGAGACAGTTTTATCACTCTAGGTATACAGAACTCCTGAGGAATACTAACTCACTGAAGATGAGCTCAAAGTAAAATGTATTTAAACCACTGTATTAGTCAGAGTTCTCAGAACCAATAGGATCTGTAATAGATAGATAGACAGACAGACAGACAGACAGATAGATAGGAAGATAGATAGATGGATAATAAAAAGATAGATGATGATGATGATGATAGATGATAGGAAGATAGATGGATAAAAAAATAGATGACAGATAGATGGATAGATAGATGGATAGATAGATCAATAGATAGATAATAGATGGATGACAGGGGATTTATTGAGGAATTGACTCACACAGTTATGGAGGCTGAGAAGTCCCATGACAGGCTGTCTGTAAGCTGGAGACCCTGGAATGCTGGTGGTGTGGCTCGGTCCAAGTGTGAAAGCCTCAGAACTAGGAAAGCCAATGATGTAACTCTCAGTCTGACGTCAAAGGGCTGAGAATTGGGTTTAGAGGGGGTTGTGGGGACGCTGGTGCCAATTCCCGAGTCCAAAGGCCAGAGAACCTGGAGTTCTGATGTCCAAGTGCAGGAGAAAAAAGGTGTCCCAGGTCCAGTAGAGAAAGAACAAATTTATTTTTTCACTGTCTTTTTGTTCTATCTGGGCTCCCAGACAATTAGATGCAAGCCACCATGCCTGGCTAATTTTTTTGTAGTTTTAGTAGAGATGGTGTTTCATCATGTTGGCCAGGCTGGTCTCGAACTCCTGGCCTCAAGTGATTCACCCACCTCAGCCTCCCAAAGTGCTGGGATTACAGGCATGAGCCACTGCGTCTGACCCCTTTATTGTCTCTTACAACAGTTTCTGACTTACAGTCTATCTTGTTTAGTATCAGTATAGCTACCCTTGTTCTCTTTTGGTTACTACTTGTATGGAATATTTTTTTCTATCCTCCTACACTGAACTTAAGCACTTCCTTAGATCTAAAGTAAGTCTCTTGTAGACATCATGTAGTTTTTTGTTTTGTTTTTAAAAACATCCACTCTGCCAATCTATGTCTTTTGACTGGAGAGTTTAACCTATTTACATTAAAGTATTTGTTGAGAGGGAAGGCCTTACTACTGCTATTTTGCAATATGTATTCTGTAAATCTTATAGCTTTCTTGTCCCTCAGTTTCTCTATTACTGCCTTCCTTCATGTTTGGTTTTTTTGTAGTGATGTATTTTAATACTTTTCTAATATTCTTTTGTGTATATTTCTGTCTATATTTTTTATGGTTATCCCATGGGGATCAAATATAACATGCTAAAGTTATAACAATTGATTTTAAATTGATGTCAATTTAACTTGAATTATATGCAAAAACTTTACTCCTTACAGCTCTGCCCTCCCCCATTTTACTTATTGATTACACATACTACATCTTTATGTATTGTGTATCCATTAACATAGATTTTAAGTTATTTTTATGCTTTTGTTTCTTAAATTCTATAAAAGAATAAAAAGTAGAGTTATGAACTAAAAGTACAATCACACAAGCTTTCATAATTGTTCATATATTTACCTTTCCCAAAGAACTTTACTTTTTCTGTGGTTTTGAGTTACTGTTATTTCATTTCAACTTGAAGGACTTCCTCTCACATTTTTTGTAGGACAGGTTTAGTGATAATAAACTCCTTCAGCTTCTGTTTATGTGAAAATTTCTTAATTTCTGTGTCATTGTTGAAAGTGAGTTTGGATATACAACTTTCGGTTCACAGTGTTTTTGGTTTTGTATTTTTCTTTTAGCATTTTAAATATATCTTACACTGTCTTCTCACAAAGTTTTTGCTGAGAAATCCCTTCGCAATCTTTTTAAGGGTCCCTGGTTTATGATGAGTCATTTTTCTCTCGTTTTCAAGATTCTCTTGTATTTGCCTTTACAGTTTAATTACAAAGTGTCTCAGTGTGAGTTTCTTTGGGTGTATCCTACTTCAAGTTCTCTGATTTTTTTTG